ATTATATTCCAATTACAATCTCCTGTGGAACCCAAAGTTCTTACTGTTGGAGTTGCATGTAAAGGACGTTGGAGGTCGGAAGGAATTGGCTGGTCAGATATTATAGATGAAGCCAAGAAATTTTTAGAACCTGTTTATGATCAAGTCTTATCCAGTGCAATGGATTATCATCATTGTATGCTTATTATCGTTAGTACAAAGTTATCATTGAATGTTTCTAATGAGTTGGGTAATCAAAGTCGTTGTTATTCCAGTGGAATGTTTATTGGAAATGATTCTTTCAAAGTACCTGATAATTGTGAACTTGTTATTCTTTGTGAAAGAGATGTCCAAATGCTGATTGACGAAGAAATATTGAATGGACTTGAAAGAGCATTTCATGTTTCTCATAATCCTACTTTTTTGAACTTTGGATTAGATTTACTTCATAGAATCCGTAACAGTTTCTTAAGTTGGCAATAGATTCTAACTCAGTCCTTCCCTTTGTTTTGAAGAGCAAATAAACTTTTTTTTGTATGTTTGAAACTCGGTTACATCTTACTTGCTTGTCTTTTGGACACCATACAGTCTTCCTTGAATAGAGTTTATTAGCTGGCTTTCAAGGCTGGCTTATAATCGTTTCATGTCAATTTGCAATAATATTGCAGAGTTGTAGCAATGATTCAAAATGAATAGACTATACATACATACATGTTGATACAACTAGAATGAAAAATATCCTTTCTTGTCCAAATACTTAGTAAAGTGGTTACCCAAAGAATATCTCAAAACATTCTTCAAGTGTCTGCTATGTTGTCTTTCTAGTCTGTTGAAAAAAGAACAGTAACTTTTTTACTATAATTTTCAAAGACTGAGACAGAAAAAGTTGTTTGTAGATTTCACTTGGACTGTCCTTCTTGTCTTTTGTTAACTGAATAGAAGAGAGTTTTCCTCGGTTTTAGACCGAACGAAAAAAGTGGCAACAAAAACTTGAGGCTTCCTCTAACTTGAGAACCTGCACTGCGGTCTCAAAAAGAGTTTTAGCTTCTTGGAATTCGATAAAAGCTTAGATTCCTTTCTTTTTTATGTGTTTTTTTCAAACTGCATTTCTAGCCTTAGAATTCAATGAATGGCTCCCACAAATATAAAACTTGTTGGAACCAAGAGAAAATATAGCAAAGATAAGAACAAATACTAAAAAAAGTATTTTAGTTTGCAATTCAAACTCTATCTCAAAAGTACTAACAACACTATATATCCAAACTCTGTTTTAGTGAATTAGACTGAAAACTCACCGACTCCTAGATAGGGAAAGTAACCCGGTTGCAAAGATGATATTCGATATAAAAAATTTTGTTTGATTATTGATAGTACAAGAGACATCTTAAGTGACTCTACCTATTTGGACACTGAGACAAGAACTTTTTATTTCAGAAAATTACTATTTACATAGGAGATCTATTTATATTGCATTGCAACGGACAACTTTGAGAGTGGAACAGAATTGTTTCTAAGTAGTCAAAGGAAACCATATCGAATCTTGAAGTATTGTCATTCCACAACAATCACTTGACCGATAACTTAGGAACTACAACGTCTTTCAGCCAACATAAGAGTCATGTTGGGTAAAAGTTGTTCAATGTGGAGTGGCTTTCAGTTGGAGAATTGCTGAAGCTTTCAAGTTAGTACACTACTCGACCTTGACTCAAGTATACAAGGCTTCTTCTTTAGTAAAACAATTTTTTGGCTCTGTCTTTTGCTCTTTTTTCAGCATCGATATGTGGAAAATGAACGGTTATAGTGACTACATTTGAAGCCTTTATTGATATTTTTAGATAAGACATATTCACAACTTGGTAAAAGTCGAACAAAGAATAGACAACTTGTGTAGCTATTACATCAATAACAGCTTGTATTTAATGATAAGTCAGTATGACAATCTTCATTATACTCTTCTCCAAACTCATTTAGATATTTTTGTATTTATAAACTGTGCTACGACCAGTTGCACATAAACAGACTTCCCATTCATTGCAATTATCTGTTTCCCACTGTATTTCGTCTGTAACTTACAAAAGGTTTGTATCTTATTAGACATGTATATAGGAGTTATAGGATGGTGTGGAAGATAGAAGAAAAACTCTCTTACAGTATACAAGCCATAGAAAGAGTACCAATCAATCTAATTCACCACAAAGACTCCTAGAAACCTATTTCTTGTCTATAGTAAAAGAAATTTTCTAATTATGACAAGCAAGAAAATATTCCTGCTTTTTCTCTATTGTCAATGTAAGTATAGAAGTGTCAAAGAGATCAGTTCTACCAATAACCAAATAAAGCAACCGATCGAACAATAAAACATACACTCCTTCCAACTCCTTTGTCCTCCTCGAAAAAGTTTAACAAGCTTAGTAGGACACAAAGTCTTGGGAATACTTCCGAACAGCACACAAACGAATAAGTAGAGCATGTTGGACTATCACTTCTAGTCGAAATATTGCATGCTTTGGCAAAAGGCTGTCGAAAACACTATCGTTTCTTGGATATTTAGTGTCAAGACGAGTTAGGTAATAAAGTACAACTTGTTTTTACAGGTATTCAAAACAAAGTACAAGGCAGTTTTGGAGGAAGTTTGGATCAGGATCCCAGTGTGTTGTCAACTCTAAGTGCCACACGTTGCACTATACTGTATCATCGTTGAGAAGAGTCGGACAGGACAAGGTTGTTTTTTGTAAGTTGGAAATTTTTCAATCATATTGATATTCTTTTTAAAGATATTGCCAGTCTTCCATTTTCTGACGGCACGTTTATGGTTAACGTCTGGGAGAAATAAATGTCCGCTTCACTTATGCAGCTGTTGTAAGTTATCTTTTTGTTGACTCTAGTTGTTCCAAGGCTATATATCTATTGTTGGAACTTGCTTGCGTATTTATTTCTTGGAAAGAAATGGTGTTAGTTGGTAAATTCTGTCGTAAGTGAGAACTGAACTTTGGACAGGTACTTTCATCTGGTCAGATGGTTAAATTTTCCTAGACAACTTGTAAAGAACTTGAAGTATATTATCAATAGTTGTAAGATTACGTGGAAGCTATGGCAAGAAGACACACTACAGTTTCAACACAGCCTGCAACATAGATCGAAGCTCCTTCCTATTCCGATATGTCCCAACTGAAATTGTACATTCTCTTATATTATACCTTGAAGAATTCAAAAGGTAAATTATATGACCTCTCAGAGACTGGCACTCCAAGTTAAAGTTGGATAGGCTCGGGATAAGTGGCACTTTGTTCTCACTTGAATCCGATATCGAACAAAGATCAGATAGCGCAAGTAGTAATGTAATATCATGCCATGTAACCTATATTGACTTGACATCAATTATACAGAATATACTTTGCAGCATTCAAAGTTTCGGTTCGTTCATCATTTCGATAACCTACACTTTCAACATGATGTTGAATGGCTTCCTAGACGGAAGCTAAGATATTCATATATGGAAAATTTCAGTTTGAGTGTACTCGAACAACACATTATGTTTTAATGGAGTTGGAAAAGCTGGGTTAACAATGATGGCAGATCATGAATGCTTCTAATTTTTCGTTGCAGATATAGCAACGATTTCCAAATGATTACTTTGAGATGGCTTTGTTCATCACAAGATACGCTAATTTCTCCTTTCAAATCAAGCATAGCAGACCAAACAAAACCTATCTCTTCAACACACTCTTTAATGATGCGTTAGTTTCCAGATATTCAAAACATATGGAGAAAGAACAAGAGCAACAAAAATTATATCGTAAGCTGCACTATTGCTGGGTAAAGCAAGAAGTAACGACCCAGATACAAAGAGCTGTATCACCTACAAGTCTTCTAGTGTAGGATATTCATCTAATTTACAAAAGAAACAAATTCAATTACAAAAAGAATACAAATGCATTTGAGAAATAATTGCTTATGTCATAAAAATTTATAGACGTCATGCAATTTCTAGTGTTGATTGTCGCCGTGTTATTTCTGCAAGAAAGTTTTATAAAAGCAGAAAGTATAGGGTTCCAATCGTCAAGTGAAAGAGTTGCAGCACCAAAGAGTCCAATAGAGGTATTTCAGTCTCAAGGCTTGACCACTTTTCTTAAAGCTGTCAACGAGACAGGACTAGGCCCCCTTTTCGAGGGAATAGTAAGTCGTCTCGTTCCAGCTACATATGAGTCAATTGTTAACCTTTGTGAGCAAATCATAGAATGATAATTTTACAATTTTCGCTCCAACCAATGAGGCTTTTCAGGACCTAAATAACGTTTCAACCATATTTGCCAATTCAGGAACCCTAGAAACCTTGATTCTGTATCAAGTTGTGCCTGGAGCTTTGACTACAAGCGATATTGTCTCCCAGTTTGAGAAAGAAGGAGTAGGTACCCTGAACTCTGTTAACAACCTGGAAATTCTAGTTTTTGTTCGCCCCAACGGTAAATATGGTTTCGTTTTACAAGGAATAATCTGAGTATTGTTATGTAGGAACTATATTGTTAGGTACTGATGAGGCTTCCCTTGTAACTACAAACTTGTCTGCAGGGAATTCGGTTATTCAGGTCATTAGTCGAGTTCTTGTTCCTCCAGTTACTAACTTTCTTCTTGGACCAACGGTCATTCCAACAGCACCAAGTGCGCCTACTTCTGCTGACGCCGGAGTGAGCACAACTTCCATTTCTTCCAGTTTGCCACAGACCACTTTTGCTTAGTGACGTCTGTTGCGTTCATCTTGTTCAATAAATGTGTCTCTTTCTTGTTCAGAGTTTCTGTTGTTTTTTCCAGTCTATGTATGACAAGTGGCTTACTAGAAACAAAACCCACGTTACAGTACAACAACAAATTGAATTACTTGGAATAGACAATTCTTCAACTTATCAAGCTGATAAAAGGTACATGTATGACTTTTCAATTATCCTTATCCGTTGTTACCCCAACGATTTGGTCATTATCGATAACGATAGTTTACAACATGAGGGTGGAAATTGTCTATCTTGAGTAACGAAAAAGAGTGATAAGACAAGGCTTTGGGTCTTTGAGTTGCTCCAACTGTTCTTCTTTTCTTTGCCATAAATAAGCATAATGCCAAAATTTGTCGACGCAAGTTCAAGATCCTAGTTGCTGCCGCATTGCGAAGACCGACTGCCTTCAAGTCCTTGAAATTGCACTGTAACAAAATTTCAGGATCAATTTCCTCTCTTTTAAATATTTTCAGGTAACTCTCTAGTCCAACTGATTGAAGAAACTTCACAAAGGGTGGCGAAAGCGTAGTTTCTTTTCGTGTTATGTGTTGAAAAGTCGGAGTAAAATAGTCTTCAATAGTTTCCTTGCTATGATGACTTGCGTTCGTTTCATTTCCAATCATCAAACAGTTATCAACGTGTTCAATTCTTCCCAATAAACTATAACAAATGAGAGGCTGTTGACAAATAGGACAATACGCTTCATCACTCATGATAAGCCAGTCTTGGCCTTGAAATGAAATTTGAATTCAAAGAAGAAACAAAAGCATTCGGTTTGCATTTACAATTCAAAAATGATAAACTCATCCATGAAACTGTCTCATGCATATCCAATACAGTTCCAAAGATAAAGTCAGTTAGCAATGAATTATTCATCTATCAACATCCATTGCTCATTGCTATCTCTTAACAAGTACATAAAAGTTAGCCACTACTCAACGATACTTCTAGTTAGAAAGCTATGTTGCAACATTTCTATTCCAATAATGTTTCGTTTTAACTAGCACTTGCAGTCGCTGAATATTTGCCAGTAGGAATATTCCACCAATGTCTCAAAGTGTCATAGGTAGTAAAACTGATAGCAATTGCAGGAGCAGCTTTCAAATAATTTACCGATAGCCCTTTATACATTCCAAAGAAGCCTTCATGGCGAATAATATGAATCAAGGCAGGAATGATACGACCAAAACCTCTTTTTGGTAAATAAGCAACTGCGTGCTCAGCTTCAATATTATAACGAAACATGGCAATTGTTTGCATTCTTCTTCGAATAACATCAAGAGGAAAAGTAAAAGTTTGCCCTACTAAGCCTGCACAAGCGCCACATAACAAAGAAACAATGGTTGGGTTGCGTTCCGTCCAGCCTTTACGCTCTGCCAACCTTCTCAATAAGCCATAAGTAAAAAAGTTGATACCTGCATAGGGTACTACTCCAGCCTATTATTATTATTATAAAAATCCTCAATAAATAAGAAACTTACCAATGTAGGATAAATACCACTATAAAAGCCACGAAGGCCGCCTTCCGAGAGAAAAATAGTTTTAATAGCATGTCTTAAACTATCATATTTGCTTTCGAATATTTGACAAGCGAAACGAGCACGGACTAGATCCAAAGGGTATGTACAAACTACAGCTGTAGCTCCAGCCAAAGAACCAGCCAATAGACGAGTCGTCTAGAGTAGATAAGTGCTGTTGATCAAAAAACAAAAGAAAATATCCATACCAAAGGGTTCTCCCGGTTCCAGCTAAGTAGGGACAGTGTACGGTTATAAAACTCAAAAGAGGCAAACTGAATGGCTGCATACGGGAAAATACGAGCAAGAAGGGCAGCGTTACCTTTGTAAAGACCAAGAAAACCTTCTGTTGTATATATGTGTACCAATCCTCTGTAAACGTTTGGGAAAGTATTCAGGCCATAAGCACGTGAGACCTGAAAACTCCAGTAAAAGAGAAGACACAAATGACCAAAAGTGAGACTTACTTGCATAAGAATTTTCGTTCGTTCCAGGGGAGCAACCGAAGTTTTAGCAACACAACCTGCAAAGCCACCAGCAACAAAAGACTTGAGCCAATTATATCTGTTCGACGTTTCCTCAAGTTGGTTGGGTTTCTTGTCTAAGACATGACTCGAAGGTTCTGTGTTTGACTGCTTATAAATAGACGAAGAGTTCATATCAATATACACAAAAATAAACAACTCAATACAAACTACAGATATTCGTAAAAAGTCAGTATTTGCCTCTGTCAGAACAAAGTCATTTTCTCTCTTCAAAGCCCTGTCACCAATTTCCAATGGACAACCAAATTCCTTTTTATTTCACGTTGAACACTTCAAGCCACTCGTTGTTCTGCTTCCACATAACTTTCTAAAGGAGGACAAGTACAAACCAAATTTTTGTCACCATAAGCATCATCTATTCTACTAACAGATGGCCACAACTTAAATGTACGAGTCCATTCTGCAGGATATGCTGCCAACTGACGAGAATATGATCGATTCCAATTATCTGAAGACACCACATCTAGAACAAAAGATATACAATGAAACAACAAACTTCCAAAGATAGTCTGCTTACCTGCAGTATGGGGAGCATTCTTCAGCGGATTGTCTTCCTTATCCATTTTACCATTTTCAATATCTCGAATTTCTTCTCTTATCATCAACAAAGCATCACATAAACGATCCAATTCTGCTTTGGATTCACTCTCAGTAGGTTCAACCATCAGTGTTCCAGCTACTGGAAATGACATAGTGGGAGAGTGGAAACCATAATCCTAACAAAGAAGTCGTGAGGAAAAAACTCTTCGAGAAAATAATGAAGTGTCCTACTTGAAGTCTTTTGGCCACATCCGCTTCAGTGACTCCCGATGTTGCCTTAAGAGGACGCAAATCAATAATAAATTCATGAGCGACCCGACCATGTTTTCCTCGATACAGAATAGGATAAGAAGCCTTTTCAAATTTAAGTCTGTCTCTATTGAAGAATAAAATCAACCTATACCGAGAGTCGTTGTGCCATATAGTTGGCATTCAGAATGGCCACTTTAGTAGCTCTAGTCAATCCTTCGTCACCCATCATTTTGATATACATATATGAAATAGGTAATATACTAGAAGAACCATAAGGTGCTGCAGCCACCGCTCCCAAACAATGTTTGGGATCGACATGAAGAGGAGGAATAACAGGATGAGATGGTAAGAAAGGAGCCAGATGACTTGCAACTGCTATAGGTCCCATACCTGGACCACCTCCACCATGAGGAATACAAAAAGTTTTATGCAAGTTCAAGTGACAAACATCGGCTCCAATATCGCCAGGAGAACAAATACCAACTTGTGCATTCATATTGGCACCATCCATATATACTTGTCCTCCTCGAGAATGAATTATCTCTACCACATCTAAAATTCCATCTTCAAAGACTCCATGGGTGGAAGGATAAGTAACCTATAAGTCGAATAATCATTTGGCTTTTCTTATTTGTATATTCACAAGATATAGTACCATTAACGCTGCCAACTGGTCCTTGTAATGTTCCGCTTTCTCTTCCAATTCTTTTACATTGATATTTCCGTGTTCATCACAACCAACTACTACAATTCGCATACCACACATGGCAGCACTTGCAGGATTTGTTCCATGAGCACTAACAGGAATAATACAAACATTTCTATGTCCCTCCTTTCTAGACTTGTGATATTCTCGTATAACCATCAACCCAGTATATTCACCTTGTGCTCCTGAATTGGGTTGGAGAGAAACCTTCAAGAATACTCTATTCAATGAACTATAAAACAAAACCAGACAAAGACTTACCTTGTTTAATTTTGTTATTTTGACTAGACTCTCAGACAACTCTTCAAACATCTCCCAGTAACCTTTCATCTGTTCCTTTGGAGCAAAAGGATGAGGAAGAGCAAACTCCGGCCAACTTATCGGGATCATTTCGGAAGTAGCATTCAATTTCATAGTGCAAGAACCTAAAGGAATCATGGAATGCACCAAAGAAACATCTTTACTCTGCAATCGATGCATATATCGCAAAAGTTCATGTTCCGAACGATATGAATGGAATACGGGATGCGTCATAAAATTACTCGTACGGACTTGTATAGCTGAAGGTACTAAACAAGGAAGAGAAACATGAGTACTTGCTCTCCCACTCCAAATCTCATTCTTACCAGGTAAAGATTCGACAATCTTTTGTAAATCCGAACCTTTGTCCCTTCCTGCAAAAGATCTAATAAGTAGATCAAGTTCCGTTTTCGTATGAGTTTCATCAAAAGACAAGCAGATCGATTTTTCATCCAAAACTCGAACATTGATTTTGGACTCTTCCAAGCGCTTTAAAACACTCTGCAGTTCTTCCTTAGAACGACAAGATACACGAACAGTATCAAAAAAGCTTTCAGGAGATGATGTTTCATATCCAAGATCTTGAACAGCCTTTTGAAAAACTCGAGCTATATCATGTATCCTTGATGCAATTTTCTGAAATCATTTGCATGAAAAATAAAACTTCGACATTGAAAGTACAAACCTTTAAACCATCCGGCCCATGATAAATGCCGTACATGGCACTCATGTTGGCTAACAATGCTTGTGCAGTACAAATATTACTGGTAGCCTTGTCTCGACGAATGTGTTGTTCTCTCGTTTGCATAGCCATACGAAAAGCAAGCTTTCCTTGGCTATCTTTACTTACACCAATAATACGACCAGGCCTAAGAAACAATGCTAATGTGGATAGTGATTGTCAATATTAAATGATAGTATACGTACATTAAGCGTTTATATTCATCTTTCGTTGCAAAAAAAGCAGCATGTGGACCTCCATAACCCATTGGCACTCCAAATCTTTGCGACGATCCTACGGCAAAGTCGGCATGCATCTCACCAGGAGGTTTCAACATAGTCAAAGCCAACAAATCACAACTCATAATAACCTAAATTATTTCATCTCTTTGATTCTTTTAGAAAACAATGTTCACCATACCTTTGCTCCAGAATGGTGAGCTTCTGTAATGATATTTTCATAGTCTTCGATTATACCTTGTGTGGTTGGATATTGCAATAGAATTCCACAAACTTGTCCTTGAACTTCTTTCCAATTGAAAGAATGCATCTTTCCAACTACAACTTCGATACCGAAACCTTCAGCTCGAGTACGAATAACTCCTATGGTTTGTGGATGACATGAGTCGGATATGACAAATATT